ATAAAGTGTGAGGGGGAAAGTCCCCTGAAATACATCCAGAGATAACCAGTCTTTTTTTTTTTTTAAGATTTTATTTATTTATTTATTTATTTGAGAGAGAGAGAGAGAGACCACAGGAGAAGGGGCAGAGGGGGTTGGGAGAGGGAGAGAGAGAGAATCTTAAGCAGGCTCCAGGCCCAGCATGGAGCCCTATGTGGGGTCCATCTCACAACTGTGAGATCATTACCTGAGCCAATACCAAGAGTCAGACGCTTAACCTACTGAGCCACCCAGGCACCCCCAGATTAAGAATACTTAAGTATTCAAGCTAGAAATTTTAGCTTACAACTCTAACATATTTGCATTTCTCTTCTTGTTACTTTTCTTTGAGAGGAATATGGCATAATACAAATTGATTGTGCTTTAGAATTAGACTTCAGTTGAATCCTACTCTACCAAACTGTAAAATTTGGCTGCAAATTTTACTTAACCCTTCTGAACTCAATTTTTCTCATCTGTAAAAATGTGAAGGTTAGGGGCGCCTGGTTGGCTCAGTCATTAAGCGGCTGCCTTCGGCTCAGGTCATGATCTCAGAGTCCTGGGATCGAGCTCCGCATCGGGCTCCCTGCTTGGCGGGAAACCTGCTTCTCCCTCTCCCACTCCCCCTGCTTGTGTTCTCTCTCTGTCAAATAAATAAATAAAATATTTTTAAAAAATGTGAAGGTTAGCTTAAATATGTTTAATAGCTGAAATCACATATCAGTTCCATAAAATGTTTGCTTTATTTTATTGTTTTGTTTTGCTCTCACTGCTTTCTTTCTGAGAACAACAAAAGGACATATTTTCTAAAATACTATGTTTTATTGCAATGGTTGGAAGCCCACGATATGTCAAAGGAGATAACTGAGAAGTAATGTTAGCATAGTAATGGATCTGGACTTGTGGAGAGATTTATTCCTTTGAGGACTGAATCTTTCCTCACCATCCTCTGGCACCTCCCCTTCACTTAATCTCCTCTTGTCCCATGACATTCTATAGCCAAAGTGTTCTCCCTTTTGGGAAAACATGAATCTTCAGGCACAAAGGAAATACCTTTCTCTTTCCTTTTGGAAGAAAATTATCTGAATAATCCTGGACTCAACCAAGCAGAAAAGTTTCTTTCTTCCTTCTTTTTTTTTTTTTTAAAGATTTTATTTATTTATTTGACAGGGAGAGACACAACGAGAGAGGGAACACAAGCAGGGGGAGTGGGAGAGGGAGAAGCAGGTTTCCTGCAGATCAGGGAGCCCGATGCAGGGCTCGATCCCAGGACGAGATCCCATGATCTCATTAGATCATGACCCGAGCCAAAGGCAGATGCTTAACGACTGAGCCACCCAGGCACCCCAGCAGAAAAGTTTCTTATGGCAGATAATTTGCCTTTGGAAAGTTCTATGCCAGTGTAGAAATACCTTGAAGGTTATATCTTTAATAAACCCTAGATGGGAACTCTATAGTACAACATATGATATGCTACTGAAGGACACCTCTGTAACTAGAACAATGTTTTGCATTGCATCCAGTATTGTTTGGGTGCTAAACTAACAATTACAGAATCATTGTCTAGAGATGGAATGGCTTTTAGCCCTTTTCCACATATACATGAATATGTGCTTTATCCACTCAGTCCTTTGTCCAGTAGCATTTGTGAATTGCCCACCACATGCCAAGCTATAGATACAAAGAAGAAGACAGAACAGGGTCTGTCCTCAATGAAGCCCTTTGGTAGGGGCAGGGAAGGGGGAAAGAGAGAGAGGGATAAGTGAGCCAACATTTATAATTTATTTATTTATTTATTTTTAAATTATAAAAGTAGGGATTCAGTCAGATTTAATTTTAAAAATGGAATGTATCTCACATAAGGATCTTGTTAGAAATGTTATATCTATCTGGGCACTACAGGAGATGCACCGACCTACAACTCATGGGGTAAAGAGTGTACAGACAATTTTCATAAGGAGTTGAAGAATTCAAAAATAGTTTACAAAGAAAATCAGGAGGCAGAAGATGCTTCAAGAGGCAAGGTCCTCAGAAATTGTTCTGGAATGCTGGTTCACTTGTATCAATGTCATGTTCCTGGTTCAATTTCTTGAACTCCACCACTTGGAAGAAGATGTGCTCAAGGATATGTTTGGCATCTTGTTGGTCCTTTGGTAGTTTATTGGTTACTCCAAGAATGTCACCACATTTTCTGACATAGAATTCCAGGTCTTCTTCAGTACACTTATTGGTAATCTGAGCAAGGCGGGCCTTCTCAGAAGAGAACGTCTCATCTAAGTCAAATAGCTCCAGCGGAGGAGGTGGTAATTCCCTGAAACTGGGAGGGAAAACCACTGGCTGAAGGGCTGGCAGTGGCATCTCAAACTGAGGCTGGATGAGCTGGAGAGGTTCATGTTTCACATTTAGCTGTTCGTGGGCCCAAACACCACCTGAAACCACAGGAACTGCTCCCACCAGTCCTGCCAGTCAACCCTCCAGTCTCTATAATTTATTTTTAAAAGTGCTGTGGTAGTTATGCATAAGGGGCTATGAAAGTACAAAGGAGGAACCCCTAACTCAGTCTGAGGAGAAGATGGATTGTGGAAGATCAAGGAAGGTGACCTGGCTGAAGTAATATATGGGATGAACTTTATATATCAGGGAGTTAGAAGGTGGAAATGGTATTCCAGATAAAAAAGAGCATGTTCAAAAAGGCATTTTAAGTCAATGAACATTTAGTGAATGTCTATCATGTGCCAAGCCCAAGGAAGCATGGAGTGTGTTCAGGGAATGGCAAGCAGCTGCATGTGACTGGAGTATAAGATACAAATTGGGAATTAGTGGGAGATCGACTGGAAAGTTCAGCAGGAGCCAGACCGTGAAGAGCCTTATATACCATGCTAAATAGATTGGACTTTATCCATAGAGACCAACAAGACTGGATTTATGTTTTGGAAAGTCATACTGGCATTAGTATAGAGAATGAATTCAGGAATACTAGTGCTGGAGGTAGGGCATCCAATTAGGAGGCTATTACAAAAATATATGAGGGCTTAAACTAAAGCAGCAGCCACAGAAATGGAGGACAGATTTAGAGATATTTAAGGGGTGGAATAAATAGATCTAGAAATCTAAGAGTCACCACATATGAAGCCATCTCCTTTATCCCCCATTAGCAGTTTTAGACCTGTCAACTTAGTAAATTAAAAAAATATACAGCCACATGTAGGAATTCATACCATTAATTTCCATTTAAACCCATATTATATTATACAGAACTATTTTTGGCTGCAGATTACAGGAACCTACCTTGAAGTAGCTTCTGTGAAGAGGGGGTTTTGAATGATACTGCAGTTTGTTTCATAGACCAGAGAAGGATAGGCATGCAGCTGGATGTTAGAGACAAATGGAACCAGAAACTTAAATGTCACCAGCACACTCATTTCCTGACATCTTTCAGCATGTTGGTAGTGTTTCTCCTATACAGATCAGTTTCCTAAATATGGCAAGAAATGGCCAGTAACAGTTCTGGGCCTCCGATTCTCAGAGTCATTTCTCCTTTAATCCTAACATTGACTTGGCTTGTTCACTTTGGCCACAATTCTATGATAGGCAGCTACCACTAGAACTATCGGGTTCAAGATACGTGTGTGTTTGAGAGGAGGAGGACAGAGAACAGCTCCTGGAGGGAGGGCCATTATAGGCAAAACAAAACATAGCCACCAGAACTTTGTCAAATCCAATAGATTTCATCTAGTGCCTTTGACTTCCATGCTACAACTGATGCTACTGATCATCTTCACTTTCTGGAAAACTTCCTTAGTTTTTGTTACTGCTTCCCCTTTGACTTCATGCTCATTCTGCTTCATGCCCCTCACAGTTAAAAAAATGTGTTCAAAACTCAGTCCTTGATATTCTGATCAGCAGATCTCAAACGTTTGATTGGTGGATCTCAAGTGGTTGCTGCCACCTCATTCCCTTATCTTCACTTTTCCTGAGTATCCAGCAGGGAGAGGAAGAGTGTAGTTGGTTGTGCCACTTCTTTTCCAGCTTACCAGAAATTTTACCACCAGCTCTTATCTCTTGATCTCATGGGTTAAGGGAAGAGTAAAGAGCAAATCTTTTAAAGAAGGACTGGATTCGGGGCGCCTGGGTGGCTCAGTCGTTAAGCGTCTGCCTTCAGCTCAGGTCATGATCCCAGGGTCCTGGGATCGAGCCCCGCATCGGGCTCCCTGCTTGGCAGGAAGCCTGCTTCTCCCTCTCCCACTCTCCCTGCTCATGTTCCCTCTCTCTGTCAAATAAATAAATAAAATCTTAAAAAAAAAAAAAAGACTGGATTCCCCTGCTTTACATTTAGAAAATCCATTGTTCTTATAGCATTAGCAACATCTCTCTGTGGATGACTATTTCCTAACCATCTTGCTTCCAGGATACATCTTGTGATCTAGTCAGTCTTACTATCACATGGATATTCCAAGCGTAGTCCTACCTCCCTGTCTTTGTTCCTTTCCTCCCAACAATACACATACCATTCACACATCAAGGCCCAGCTTAAATTCTCTCTTCCTTAAAGACTTCATGGCTACTCCAGCCCTCTTGATCTTTCTTTTTACTGATGCCCCACTCCAACTTACAGTTTCTAGTATACAATTAGATTTATCAATTACATTTATCATCTTGTTATTTTGTCATTGTTAGAGAGCATTTTGTGGAAAGAGCTGGATTTTTTAAAAAAATTAAATGTTTGACAAATAACATTGTATCAGTTTTAGGTGTACCATATAATGATTTGATATATGTATATATTGCGAAATGGTTACCACAATAAGCTTAGTTAACCTTCATCACTGCATATAGTTATACATTTTTTCTTTTAATGAGAACTTTTAAGATCTAATCTCTTAACAACTTTCAAATGTATTGTTAAATATAGTCACTGTGCTATAAATTACATCCCCAGGACTTATGTATCTTATAACTGCAAGTTTGTACCTTTTGGCCACCTGTATTCATTCCCCTTTGCCCCCAATCCTTGGCAACCATCAATCTGTTCTCTGTATCTATGAGTTTGTGTTTTATTTGTTTGTTTTAGATTTCATGTATAAGTGAGGTCATAGAGTATTTGTCTTTCTCTTCACTTAGCATAGTGCTTTCAAAGTCTATCCATGTTGTTGCAAATGGCAGGATTTTCTTCTTTGTTAGGGCTGAATAAAACTCCATTGAATATATATGGAAATATATATATGTATATATATATATAATTTTCTTTATCTATTCATCTGTTAATGGACACTTAGGTTGTTCCCATGTGTTGACTATTATAAATAATGTGGCAGTGAACATGGGAGTCTAGATACCTTTTCAAGATAGTGATTTTGTTTCCTTTGGATAAATACCCAAAAGTGGGAATTGCTGGATCATATAATAGTTCTATTTTTAATTTTCTGAAGAACCCCGTACTGTTTTCCATAGTGATTGCACCAATTTACATTTCCACCAACAGTGCACAAGGGTTCCCTGTTCTCCACATCTTTGCCAACACTTGTTATTTCTTGTCTTTTGATAATAGCCATTCTAACAAGTGTGAGGTGATATCTCAATGTGGTTTGATTTGTATTTCCCTGGTGATGTTGTGCACCTTTTCGTGTAACATATGCAAAAGATTAATATTGCTACTATAAAAGTGCTTTCCAACAAATAAGCCAATAGAGAATGGACAATTTACAAAAGAACGCAAATAGCCAATAACCACCTGAAAAGGTGTTCATTCCCCAGAAGTATTAAGGATTTGCAAATTAAAACAGCCATTAGAAGCCATTTCTCTCTCCCAGAAAGATTTATATTCTATCTAGAATTTGAGACTATAGGACCACAAAGGCACATTGTTGATGACAGTATAAAGTGACACAGTTTTTTTGGTCTGAAAATGTTGGACAAGGATACACACACACATACACTGTCCTGATGGTAGCATAATTTGTAGTATTATAAATAATATGAATTCCCATCAACAGGAAAATGCCAGGTAGTTGCTGAAAAGAGTGGAGAAGGCCAGAATTCAGCTGCATTCACAGCCATGAATAGGAATGAATGATTTTGCAGGTTGCAAAACCATACAATATAATCCCATTGTGTAAAAGAAAGAAGGAAGGAAAGTATTTAAACATATACTTAAAACTTCATCAATCTGTTTATATGCCTGGAAAATTATTTGGAAGGAGTCACACCAGTTACAAAGAATTACCCCTAGGGAGCAGAAGTAGGAGAAATAAAGTGAGGAATTTTCACCTTTTAAACATGGCTGCAATTGTTAGGATTATCTGTTTTTAATATGTTAATCTTGTCTCTCCAATTATTTAACTCTGGCTCCACATAACGTCATCTATTCCTGGTAGCACTTATCACAGTGCTGATCATTTAAATACTTGGCTCTACTCTCCACTTTCTTACATGGTGTCTGATTAGTAGTCTGCTGTAATTTTTATCCTTATTCCTCTATAATATAATGTTAGCCCCTATCCTCGTCTGACTTCTTAAAAGATTTCATTTTGTCTTTGGTTTTCTACAGTTTGAATTTTATATGCTTAGGTGTAGATTTTTTAGTATTTTTCTTAGTTGGTGTTCTGTCAGCTTCCTGGATTTTTAGTTTGCTGTCTGCCATTAAATTTGGAGCATTCTTGGCCATTATTTTTTCCCGTTAGATCTCATATTAATCACAATTATTGTAAAATCCCTGTCTGATAAAAAAAAATCTGTGCCATGCCTGAGTGTAGTTCTGATGCTTTTGTGTCTTCAGACTGTGCTTTTTCTTGCCTTTCAACATGGCTTTTAATTTTTTTTGCTGACAGTCAAACATTATATGTCAGGTAATAGTAATTGTTAAATAGGCTTTTTAGTGTAAGATTGTAATGTTAATCTGGCTAGGATTTGGGTTGTGTTTAATGTTTTCTGTAACTGTAGGTGCTGGAGGTTTCAAATTTCTCTAGTGTCCTTGCTTTTGGCTCTCTTGTTGTTATAGGGCTTAACTAAGGACTCTTCCTTAAATAGAATCTGTGTCTTGAATCTCTTTCAGCTATAATCCACTGTTATTCTTTTTTTTTTTTTTT